CATTTAGTAGAGGTCCTATTCCACCCTGGGCCTTTCCTTTTACTCCCTATGTATCTAAAAAAAATTTTTTGTTATCCTTAACTTGGGATGCCATCCTCAGCTCCATGGTAGCTTTGGCCTGTCTAACTGCCTCCCTACAAGCTCGAGCAGAGGAGGTATACTCCTCTTTAGTAATCTCTCCCCGTTTCCACTTTTTATATGCCCCCCTTTTAGCCCGTAGACTGCTCTGGATTTCTTTGGTCAGCCAGGGAAGCCTCTTGTCCCCTTTCCCCCTTTTTCCCCGCATCAAGATCGTCTCCCTCTGTGCCCGAAGGATCGTTTCCTTAAGGCACAGCCACCCTTCCTGGGCTCCCATCTCTTCAAAACTCTTACTCTGCAATGCGTCCTTGACTAAACACCTGAGTTCATTGAAATCAGCTTTCCTAAAGTCTAGCACTTTCACCTTACTATTTACCTTACCCACTCAACGTCTTATGATGAATTCTATTATTTGGTGATCACTGTCCCCCAGGTGACCACCGATCTGTAGGTCTCCTACCATGTCATCCCCCATTGCCAATACCAGGTCCAGTAAGGCATCCCCCCTAGTGGGACCATGTACCTCCTGCATCAGATGGGGGTCCTGTACACAGGATAAGAACCTGCATGAACTTTGCTGGGACTTTGTGGGACTTTGCTGTCTGCGTTTCCCAGCAGATGTCTGGGTAGTTTAGGTCCCCCATTACTACCGCCTCCCTAGTTTTTATGGTCTCCGAGAGCTGCCTCAGGAGTCCAAAATCTAGTTCTTCCCCCCTATATATGTACCTATATATGCTACACTATTGCTCGTGTATTTCACGGATCGAGTCCTTCAATAAATTTAATCTGTAATTATTCTAAGTATATCACTTTTGATATCACGGGAAAGATACTGAAGAAGGAAATATGGTATATGGTAGCAACTACCATGGTACAATTGACAAGTCAGATTGACATTGCTAGCTGGGTGCATTTACACATATCGCTATGGTGATGTGTTACTGCGCCATGATTTAGTACTTCCTTCTGGAAGTACTAAATCACGGCACAGTAACAGCCCACATACTGTGTCGTATGCATGATGCACAGTTATTTTTAGCAGCTACGTCACCATAATGGCACACTATAACAGGGGAGCATGTCGTTATGGCAGTGTAGCTGCTGGTCACATGTAGATGCCTGTGGAAGCTATGTCGCCATAGCGCATTGATATGTCACCATAGTGTCATGTGTAGACACGTCCACTGTGTACTTGCCTAAACTTAGCTCTAATGCTAGTGAACAGGCATGGAAACATATTCCAAGGAGGGTGGCTCACAATACTCTAGGTAATTTCATACTTACAGGGAATAAGGGTTTAAAAACAGGAAAATATAGCTTTTGCCATATTGTAAGTAGCATTGTATTGTAAGCTATAGAGGAAAGTAAAAACATGCTGAAGTACTGTGATCTTACATAAGCTACACTCATCTCTACTTGAAACAAAATTGATCAATAACTCACAGCAGTTTAAGGAAAATCAAAAGCTTTTTACTTTGACAACAGTATAATATACTAAATCAGCATTCTAGTAAGAATAAGAGTTAATCCCTACATGAAAAATCTGATTGGAGATTTTTGCAGCACTGTGGAAGTCCCATGCAATAATAGTACGGTCAGCTGAGTCCCTGCTTACTGCATCTGTGCTTGTAAGAAATTCTTTTCCTTCAGGAAGAAAGAGGACATCCAAAGTCTGCTGTACTGCAGCTTTGTAGACTTTTATCACCTATGAGACAGTAAAATTCATTACATGGTAAAACATTATTTTTCCCAACAAGGAAAAGACTATAATTAGCTATTAACAGTAGGAACAAGTGTATTGTCATAATAGGAATTCATGGCTTTCATTAAAGCACCAATAAAGTACATTTTTCAATAGAGACAAATGAGAACAGGTTAGCACACCCATATTCTTAAATACTTATGTACTACACAGCTGGCTTATCTAGGAAAAATTGTTATAGTGTACAACAATATTTATTTAACAACAAGTGTACAGGAAAATGAAATATATATTTTACTAAAAGCACTACTTCACTATACTCTACTGTATACATCTCTGTTGTAAAATGTCTTAAGAAATCAGGGCTAGATCCAAAGAACTTAGATGCCATGATGCTGAGTGATACAATGCCTAATTTTTACGTGTCTGAACCATAGAATGGAATCCAAAGTCCTACATTGGGAAACAGGGAGCACTAAGGCCAGGAGAGGATGAGGAAGTGTCATGCTGTTCCCATTTCTACAAGAATTCAATGAGTTGACCATACTGTCAGGAAACAACATCCAAAGTTCAATTCTCTCCTTGGCCTCTGGGAGTTCAAATCCACCTCTTCCACGTCTTTGGAATATAGGACTGGGAGGGGTCTCTCAAGCCATCAAGTCCAGCGTCTGCATGTTCCTAGGACATTATTTATCCAAAAATTCCTAAAATTTATCTTCTCTGACCCCTCTCATAAACCACAGACAGCAGGACAAAAATTACCCTACAAAAACATGTTGCAAATAAAAAGCAAGACAGACAGTCACAGCCAATGCTTTACCACTGCAATGGGAGAGAAGTTATTGGTTACTAACCTTTAATATCTATATTCAGATGATCTTAGAAAGAAAACAAAGCCTAGTGCTATAGCGGAAAGTAAATCCTCCACAATGACAATAATATTGAGGGACATCTGCTTCAATCAGTATGACCCTCAACAGAACAGGAAGACCCTCAAGTTAGGTAGCCGAAAGGCTATTAACTACTGATAGAGGAACAAGTATACTCCAATAAAAACTCCCACCACAAGCTGAGAGACATGTCCAATGCTTCTGAAAAACATGGGGAGGGAACAACCAAAAACACCAAAAATGGGCATGTGCCTGTTGCGGCATCTCAAAGCAGTTTGAGATGGCACAAGAGGCACTCTGAGAACAAAAAAAATGTTCCCTGGCTGCATATTTGCAGCATGGACTCTAAGTTTGATACTGGGAAGTCCCAGTATAAAAACATGTGCTGAAAAAAAGTGTTGCAGGACACGCTCCTGGAGTGCACCTTCAGCCAGGACTGGGCTGCTCTTGCTGTCACCCGTGGTCCTGTCATCAGACACAGAGGCCACACGTTGGGCCAGGCCATGTCGTGCCTCCATGGAGCTGGTCGGCCCAACAACATGCAGGGCACTTGGACCTGGCCCAGGCCGATGCATGGCCCCTGCATGACAGCAAGAGCAGCCCGGGCCTGCCCGAAGGCGCATATCCCTGGGCCAGGCCAGGCCCTCACCATGTGGCACAGGTGGCACTGGGTCTCAGATGGCCAGGGGGCCTCTGTCAGCACCGGGCCCCAAGCGCCTGATGGCCACTGCTGCGGTGGGGTGGGCAGTGGTCCGACCCCTCCAGAGCAGTTCCTCTCATCCCCACACAGTCTCCCCCAACCCACGCAGTCCGCCCCACACCCACAAACCCCATACTCCCAAACCACCCCCACAAAACCCCCACTCATGTACCCAACCACAAACCTGTGCATAAATCCCAACCCCCTCACAAATCTCACACACTGCATGCCCAGCCAGCAAATAGATGGGACAGGACCTGCTGGCAGAAGCTGCAGCTGCAGGGGCAACTGCTACATCACAGCCCTGTACCACGCCCACACTGGTGCTGGGACATATGGTCCAAGTCTGGGGGGGCTCCTAGTCCCAGGAACCACTTGGAGGGTGTGATGGGCTGGGGAGAGGAATGGAGGTGGCAGCAGGAGTATGTGTGTGAGAGAGGGGTGGGGGAGTGTTCTGGGCAGGAAAGGCCTCCAGAGCCAGGCTTATAGCCTCCCTGCCCCCGCAGAGCAGCCTGTACAGGAAGAGGCCTGCCTGAAAGGAAAGGGGCTTGCCCAGCCCAGTCCCTGAGCCCCAGTCAAGGGCTTCCCAGGAACAGCATGGGGCTCGCTGGGGCCTAGGCACAGCCGCAGGGAATAGAACAGCAAGGGCTGCAACTGCTCAGAACCACAAAGCAGTGGGTGGGACAGCTGCAGCTGGACTCATGTCCTGGTGCTGGGACAGAGCTGCTGCTGGGAGGGAGCTAGTGGGGGCAGGCAGGGGCTGTGGGTCAGGAGTGAGGGGCACTGATGGGGCTGTGGGTTGAGGGTGAGGGGTAAGGGCAGGGGCAGCTCTGATTTTTCTATGATAAAAAACCAAAAGCAAAAGCTGAAGAGTATAGATATTTAGAATCCATTTATTATGATGATAGAGGTAGGCTTCCAAATGGCTTTAAAACTGTAAATATATAAACAAAGCATTGCCCAACTGATCTCTGTATATATGGTGGCATTTCATTTTAATCACAGATCTGGGGTATTTTAACAAGACAATTTTGGGGTTTTATCAAAGGATTTGCAACTTTTGAACACAGAACACCAGGATCTCTGCTTGTGAAAAGTGCTCGTGAGACCCAGGCAGAGGAGCCTGCCCAGGGCCAGCACTGGGAAACCAGCTGGAGGGCAGACGAGCTGGCTGACCTGGCCATTTGGGGCCAGGAAAACATACTTTGACACTTTAAAGTGGGCCACCACAACAAGCACATCTTCTGGGCAACAGCTGCCCAGATGGCAGGGCAGAGGCACCAGAAAACATTACAGCAGTTCCACATGAAGGCCAACTGTGCAGACACAGCCCACTGGCAGCTGGCCCAGAAATGCAGGAGGCTCTGCGGCAGTGCCCACACCATAGCTCAGGAAGCCATGCAGAACCCGTTCTGGCAGGTGTGCAGCCACGGAGCCACAGGTCCAAGGGGTGGATGCTGTCAAGTGGCAGCAGGTCACAGCCAGGCAGCAGCCCCCACTGCCAGGCTGCTGCTGTGGGTAGAGGGTGCAGGGGGCACTGTAGGTAAGGGCTGCTTCAGCAGTCCAGCTGGCACAAGAGGCTAGTGTCCCCAGATACCAAGCGGCTGGGCCTCAGAAGCTCCTGAGCACAAGTAGCCCTGAGCTGCTCGCCAGGGCAGCTTTTAATACTCCTGGGGCCAGCACAGGTGCTGGCCCCAGTCTCTAGCTCCCCCTGGCTGAAGACTGGGGAGAAGCTGGGCAAAGTCAGCTTGTCCCACACTAAAGTGCATGTTCAGACACGTGTGCTGAGGCACAAATCTCTGGCACAAGTTTGTGCCACTGCTATTTGAGCTACTGCAACTGCACATGCCTGCAAGTGTGGATGCACCACAAGAGTCTGTAAATCATTCACAAGGGAAAAAAATCCCTCCCAGTCAATACAGATAACCAGTAGCACACCCCTGAACCATGGTTTTACAAGGCATCTCCTACCCATGAGTTCTTTCAGCCTTAGCAGGGGGATTGCAAATACCTGAATCCACACACTACATGAATCCAAGAACATACTATCCCTTCCATAAATCTTGTCATATTTCTGAAGCAATTCAGGTCTTTTGTTCCCTCATGCTGTCTGTAGAAGGTCAGTCCAAACCTCTTATTTCTATAATAGTTATAAAAACATGTCATTTCCCATTTACCTTTGTTCATGATTGCAGCCATTTGATCTTGTACTGACACTATATTTTCTCACATACAACCTACATCTTTTCCTCCAAAATCAGCCCTCTAAGACTGGTGTGCATGTATTAAGCATAGGCTGACCATAAGGAAATCTGGGACATCTGGGACACTGCCTCCTGCCCCCCACAGTCCCAAGTCAACAGCACCGTAGTAGGTAGAGGTAGGTAGAGTGGGAGTGAAGCATTGTGGTGCACCAAGCAGGCGGGTGGGTGGACTGCCTGCCCTCCTCCCTGGCACACCATACTGCTCTGCTTCCCCACCAGACTACACTTTGAACCCCTGCATTTCCAGGACACTGATTTTAATTCTTGCCAGCCAGCCAGGACCACCTCCATAATCCAGGACTGTCCCCAGCTAAACCAGGACATATGGTCACCCTAATTAAGCAAGGAAGCTTACTTTCTGACTGTGATAGAAGCACCTTGCTTTGATTTCCACTCCATAGTGCAGCAGCTGTTGCATTAGTATTCAGGCAGCTGAGGGAATCAATTGACTTAATGGCTTATTATGCTTCACTCCAGAGGTTTTGCCTTTTTAATAGTCCTGATGTATCACTAATCAATCTATGCTGTCTTTGGGCAATTTTGCTGTCTGCTAGCTGCTCCTGAGCTCCATCCTCCTATTTTACAGTCTTGGAGACTTTTCAGTTCTTTTCAAAATAAAAGATCCACCAATGAAGACCAGTCTTTAGGAACAGAAGTTTGAGGTTTGGTTAAATCTAAAAAAGAGATGCAATTTACCTGAAAATGAGACTTCATTCCTACTCTATGCAGCTATAACTCTGGAAAAATCTTTTCCCTCTCTATTCTGCCTTTCAAAACCAAAGTGTGTATTATATTCAGAAGCATGTTGCATGTGAGAAAATATGATACTGTTCTTTAAATAGTTCTTCTTGCTCACTAGCGTTCACTGGTAAATGTACTTATACAAAGTAATAAATCGGCCTTCAAGCTAAACAAGCCATCTCATCTTAATCTTACCCTATTAGACAGGCTCATTTATCCATCCCAGTAACTCTTTCTTTGTTCCTTTTCCAGTTTAAATTCATCTTTTTTGAAACACTGATGATCAGAGCTGTACACAATGTTCTAAGCGATGTCCTACAACTGTCTTGTACAATGACTGCAGGTACTCCCTTGTTTCTATTGAATATACCCCACCTAATACATCGTAGAAGTGCATTAGCCTTTTCC